GTTGTTACTGAGTGACATTCCACATCGATTTACATGAAAGGGACGTTCGGACGAACAGACGTACGTGCAGACAATCACGTGACAATCACCTTTTTTTTTTAAGTCGATGGGTTACTTAATTTTCTAATCAATGGGGCTCCGCTCAGGTGCCTTCGACGCGCAAGAAATTCGCCATGCATTAGTAGATGTCAACCTCCCCCCCTCCCCCATAAGGTTTTTCCCAAGTTTTGAAAAGATGATTTACTCTAAGATGCTGAAACTTTCAGTAGCTGTTCATTCATCGTCAGGGGACGCTTTGATAGGTAAATTGTGTGCTCGCGATTTTTGACGGTGTCATGGCGGCCGCAAACTTCATGTACGTCTGAAAAAAAGTCAACTTTTTAACTTTATTCTCTACTTTTTTCCATTCTGCCTGATTTTGTATTAAATTCCGTTATTTTTTGACTTTTTAAGAAAATCGTGAAATCCAATATAAGGGATCTAAGATGACGGATCCAAATACGTCATTCAGTTCACGTCAAATGACATTATTGAATGTACCAAAAATGGGGTCATCTTGTAGAGCACGCTCGAGGGTTTTCCACTGAATGTAAATTTATTTCGCTGTGTCTCAGCAGAACGAAAACCCAAGGAAGGGGCTCCAACCGCCACCTCCCCCCCGTCCCCTCCACCCTTGTACCACGGTGGGGGTATGAGATAGCTTGTAGAACCGAGGGTAAAATAACGGCTGAGATGGATCAGTATATAAGAGGCTCTCTGTATATTATCAGCTCTCAAATTTTCGACGTTGCATAAGGGCTATAATAATATAAGTACATGCAAATATTCCATCATGCTGATTGACCGTTTTCAATTAGTCCCAAATAGTGTAGAAAGTTGAAATTGTGTCCAAAAAATTAAAATTGAGTGCGGGAAGTTAAAATTAAATTGCATGTGTATTACAAACAAGTATAATCAAATGAATTTTCTCGTGTAATTGGGAATAAAATAAGCACTCTTAAATGTTTCAAAGACTATGAATTAAACATTCAGAAGGAAAATATTACTTACTCAGTACTTATAATGAGGGATTTATATAGATAAATGTGGACTAAGCTCAAATATTTCACACAAGGAAATGCTTGGCGACCGTTTACTTCGAACTCATTTCAATAACAAAGGTTGTTAGCGGTAGTCCATCGGGGGTGTCTGACACTCGGTTTTTTTCAGCCAGAAAGAACTCGGTGAAAAACATATATGTCAGTCAAGTAACAGATTCGTTGTTTTCTCCAGAGTATAAGGTTTGTTTTCGTTTTCTTTGTTCATGATTTTTCGTAATTCTAAAGTTTAGCTGTGTCTCAAGCCACATTTATTTATGTTGAGTACGCGTGTGTGCTGCTTTATTAACTGTCTGAGAATTTTCTCTTGCCATCTCCTAGTCAGCCAAACTTTGCATGCTGCTTGATCCATTTCATTCACAGCAGCTAAACATGCACTGACATCAGGCTGTTCGGATAAAAAAAAATATTAGCATGTGTTCTCAATCTTGGAATGTTGGCAACTATTCCTAGAAGATGACCTTTTGCCCCGGGACTTCCCTTCCTATACATTTCCATTTTGCGGTTCGTCCAGCTGGAGTCGATATGTTAATATTTGAAAACTGAATTCGCGGGAATCATGAAATTGTTATTAGTTGTTCCTAGAACTCGCATTTGCTTTATTTTACAATTTCAGCGAATGGAAAATCACACGGCGACACTAAACATAAGGAAATCCACAATCCATCGTGATTATTATCCTTTGTTTTCTAGATTAATGACAAGATGTCATGCATTTTCTAGGGTTGTTTACTTCTATCGAAAATGCTTAAAAGAAGGGATTTGTCCCTGGCGTCCATAACAAGGGACTTGTCCCGTGGACCTTGTCTCAGCGGCAAATCTCATTGATAGATAGGAACGAAGAGACCTGGTACGAGTGAGAGAGGAGGATAAGCTGACGTGTTTGGTTGCGATTGGTTAAATCTCTGTCACGTGCACGAGAGGTGCTCATTTTAGTCACTGGCAAGTGTGACACATATCTTATTTGCCCGCAATTGTGTTAAAGGAAGCAGTTGTTACCGATAGGCGTGTTAAAACCATTCCTTCGAGTTGTAAGGTACGTGAGCAATGTTGTTAGTTTCTGACTGGCTACAGCTTAAAACGTTAGCTTTACAACATTCCCACGGCTGTAAAATTTAGATCGATTAACTTTAAGCAACTTGGAGTCGATAACAGCCAAGGGGTTGCGCAAACTGTAATTTTTAACACAAGCTCTCTCAAAGCTAGAAGTTGTTTCGTTTTGTTTCACAGAACAGAATCTGATAATCAATTAAAGACATATCCATCGATGATTGTCTCTGTTGCGGCTCCCTTACTGATGCGAGATAGTATTTGCGTCTGTTTGATTCAGCCAATAATTAATTTTTTTGCGATACCCAGGGCTGAACGGACTGCAACTAGATTTGAAAACTAAATTTCAGAATAATTCACTCTAGTTTCGCTTCAACTGATTCAATGCTGTGTCCAGTGACTCCTAGGCTCACTCTGACTGAAGTCCACTCACGTTACGAAACTGAAAGTGGGACTTGTTTGATCGATAACTCTCGCATAATTCGCGCTCGCTTTCCAAGAAAATCATTTACTTGCTATTAAATTGTTCTTTCCTTGATGTTATTTTTGGGATAAAGTACAAAACTACGCAATGTGTACGATTCTTCTTTGGTTTTTGTCAATGTTTTATCGAATCTATCATAGACTCATGAAATTAGTGAAAGAAAGCTTACAATCGAATTGCATTTATGATGACGCTACCTTTTTCAGAAATGAAAGCAACATCTGACCTTATCAACTTCCTATTTCTTACCAAACACCTTATTCTGCATGCAAGTGACGCGTTTTAACAGGATTCTGCACATGAATGCTGACTTCGTCAGCGTTACCGGTGTGGAGTGAAATGCGGGTCCATCTCTCGCACGTGTTCACATGTTATGCAGTTCGTTCTTGGAAAGTGAAACCTCCTCCGGGACGAGACTTGCCCTTCGCAACCGCTGGCATTTTCGTTTTCTCTGCTGAGAGCCGATCTGAAAACTGAACTCCCTTTTAGTTGTGATCTTTCTTTCTACGTTTCGAGAGACTGAAAGTGATTATGATGCTATGGGAAAGTCATAAAACAAAAATTAAGAGGCAGTTAATGCTATCGAAGCTCGCGATAATCAGCTATCTATTTTCCGTGAAGGGATTTTGCCCAAAGACTTTGTACTATAGAATTATGAATTCCCCCTCCCCCAACGTGCTTACAAGTACGAAATTTTTCTCCCGGCCCCTGTTAATTGGGAATTATCCCATTTAAGATAGCATACCGGACGAAACTGTTCTGGATCGACGTCTTACAACAGAACATTAAAACAAGCAAATAACGCAAATAATTTTGTGCTTGTCTTCAACTTTATTAAATTCCAAGAAAGACTTGCATGATAGCGTATCCAAATTTAGTAACTAAATCACAAAAGTATGCAAAACCACGTGACTTCTGAGAAAAAAAAAAGAGTATGGTTATATGTCGTATGTTGGTTTGATTTTGTTTTTCTTTTGTGCTAATTTGTTTGATTGCTGGGTTTTTTCTATGACAGTCTGGAAGACCTTAATACTTACTTCATTTTTTTAAAAATTTCTTTAAACAGCTGAACATGATTCATCTCACCTCAATTGCAAGTGCTGCGCCTCTGCTGTATTTTCTGTTCTTGTTGTCGTTCCCTAACGGAAACAACGCGGGGTAAGCATGAAAATAATTAGTAGTCTGGTACTTAATTTCACACATACTGGTCTTGATAGATGACATATTTTAAGAGGTTCTGTAGCTTCATGTTTCTATTGAAAAAAGTTGACGCTTTTAAAAGAGATCCTTCTTGTGAACAATATTTGTTTGTTTGATTGTTTCCAGTTTCTTCAGCTCTTCATTCAGCTCGCAGTCAGACAATAGACGTCCTCATGACATCACCTCTAAGCGGGGTCTGACTGGCTTGTACAATTCTCGTGTAGATTCTGTAGAGCACGTGACCAGACCCCTAGGGGGGTCGGCAGGCTCGTTTGGAGTAAAGCATTCTGGAGTCGTGGTAACAACTGAAAATGGCGACCGCTGGCTTGTACACAAGGGCCCAGGATACGGAGATTCAAGTAAAGCACTTTATTTTTCTTTGGGCAAGGGGGGCGGGNAGCGTGGTCTACTTGTTGGCCTGGCACCCAAGCCTCTTACCACTGTAGAGTATGTCCATGTATAGTGATGCAACGCACAGTGTAATAAGGTAGAAGAACCCCCGCTGACTCATTTCAGGATTTATTGGGTTGTGTATACGTTCTATCTACCATTGACATTACCAGAGCAACCCATCAATAGAATAAAATTTGGAAAATTAAAGTTTTAATGAACGTTCATAAAAGTGTTTCTTTCATGACAAACAGCCCCCTACTGGGATAAACCCCTAATTAAACGACAGGAAAACAAAGGAATTGCTTCTGAAATTAGTTAATTATAATTTCGTCATATTGTTTATTTCCAGGCGACACAGTAGTCACAAATGCAAGGCACATGAGTGGAGACTGGAAATCAGCTGGCTCTCAGCCAGCGCAGACTGGGACTAAGGTAGCTGATTACGTCAGGGCTGGCGGAGAAAACTACAATCTGTTGTTTGACAACTGCCATGACGCCTCTAAAAGGATGATGGATGTTGGGAATGAAAACCCTTAACTATATGAGAAACAACAAGATTCTGGCCTCAATTATAACCAGAGATGCTTATATAGTTACTAAGATATTTTTATTATTGCTGTTTCTTTGCTTTTAGGGTACTTAAGTTCATTGAAAAAGCCATTCCAATGCAATTCAGTGGGAAAACTATAACCTAAAGTAGTTTGGAACTCGTATGTTTGTTGAAACGCCTAACTCCACTAGCATGCTTGTCTTTAACTCTAAAATAACTACATTTGTCCGGTTGAGACGAAATCGATTAAAACTAATTTTAACTCGTTAACAAATAAATGAATTTGTTTCATATAATCAAACTCTAGCCGTTAAAAGCGCAGAGTTGTGTTCTTGTGTGGATTAAAAACCTCGTTTGGTTCTGCCATTTCGTCATCTTATGTTACCGTTTACATTATATTGCTACAGTGTTGTTGTCCATCTCCTACCCAGAGAGCCACACGTTTTAAAAGCAGACCCCGGTAACCTGCCGCTCTTAACGGAATCAACAAAATCTGAGCTGGAGCTCGAGTCTGTTCACAGATACAGTTAGAGTATGAAGTGAACTCATATCCCTATAGCAAAAATAACGCCAATGATAGATTCCAATATCCAATATTTAAATTGAGGCACTTGCCTCCCCTCNCCCCCCCCCGAGTTAAAGCGATTAGTTAAACAAGCGCATGCGCCCAACATAATATTTTAGTCCACAGTCGTGAAATAAGGTGGTGGTGCTTTTCAGGGCTTGAGATAACAAGTTAACTAAGTAACTTTGAAACATTTCTCGAATGAAGTAAGCATTGTAGCTTTAAGCGTGAAGTCGATGAGAGAATTACTGTAAAATGCCAAACTAGACTACACAGACATATCTTGCGAATTCCACTTCAAAAGCAAGTTTCGATCGCACATGCAAAGCAGAACAAAATAATGTGTTGGCTACCTTCTGCGAATAAAAAAATTGAATTTCTCATTTAATGATGCAACTAAAGTCAATATTCAATTCCCTGTGGAAACAACTCCGGGTCTATTATAATGAAATGAAAGTGAAAGCTAGAAATAATCCAGTTTAATCGTTTATTTTAATTTATTATTATTTTTTATGTTGTAGGCTTTTTTAGAGGAAATAAAAACATTGACTATAATGTTCAATTTTTCCCTTCGTTTGCTTGTTGGTCTCTTTGTCGATTTTTGAATCTTGTATTTTGCTTTTTTACTTTATAGATTATTCGAAGGCTTATGATTTATTACCTTTGTGGTTTTAAATGAAGACCACATTATTTTTCTCCAAACTAAGGGGTTAAAGTTCATTCCAAGAATTGTTTAGCAATGTAGCCGCATCTGCTGTATTCTTGGAAATAAAACTAATCTCAATTGCAAGGTAAGCTGCGCCCAAATATTGTCGCCTAGAGTCACTTTTAAGAAGATCAGAAATGACTCTCGGATACATGTTTTGTGCAAAAACAGTTTGAAACTCGGAGTCCGATGTTTAAGATTGTCTGTGGAACCAGCAAACTGCGATTTCCCGTTTTTCAAGCTAAAACCATGGTACTTGTGATACATTTCTCAGAAAGTGAACTTTTGCTCCTCATCATTTGGATGAGTAAAGAAAAAATGACAGACCATTTAACAAATGATCATTCATATTTCAAAGAAATCACAAGATGCCTAAAAAGCTAAGACACTTCTGTTTGCAATTTCTAAAGCCAAGGCTGGTGAGATTCATTGTAATGATCAAACAATGGGTTAACAGACCACCGAAAGAAAACACCGCTTTTGAATGATCTATCTACTCTCAACAGATGACAAATTATTCACCAATTTTACCACATAAAAAACAGTAAATAATTACTTTATGTTTTACGTTATTTGTTCAGTTTCTATTTTCAATAAAAAGAAAAAAGTATAAAAGAGATTGGTAAAAAAAAATTCACCAACAACGACCATGCAACATCAAAGAAACTGGAATCCCGGTGCATGCTGCCGTCTGTTGGAAACTGAACGCAGTAACTAACGAGAAATAAGTTCATAATTTAAGGGATTCATAATTTATTTCGAAATTTCGGGGTAAAGGTAGAGGGGGTTTACCATGACGTGTTAGCTAGGGATTGGTCAAGCGAGCGCATGCGCCTGAATATAGTTACTTATTTGCCTCAGTCGAGGACATTGTTAAGTAGCTTACACGCCCCGTAGTCGTCTGTGCGGAAGCAGACCTGCGAAAAGGAATTCATCAAGACAGTCTGAACGCTCTTGGCGTCGCCAAACAAAAGAAATGAGGTAAGCATTCGACAACATCACAAAAGCTAAACTCACGCCAAGCTTAGCCAAGCAGACGTTTTGAGTAAATACCATAAATTTTGCCCTAACTACACAGGCAGGAATTCGATTCATGAAGTGTTTCCAGTTCGTCTAAGTTCTTTACGTAGTCGGATCCCATGTTATCAGTCTTAACAATTCCAGTTTCAACAGCAAACTGTTGGACAATTGAGAACGAACGCTATTCCGTGACCGACAAAGAAACGACAGCGGATGCTCGTAGTGTAACTCAAATTTTGCTTGAAATGATCATACCATGTTTTTGCGATTCATGTACTTCTCTGTCGACCGCTTGAAATCACGTTATCGAGCTTTCAGCGGGCTTTTCTTTTTTAAGCGTTTGTTACCATATTATGCAAAACAGAACTTTTTATTCTTCGAATTGCCTCGATCAGAATGTGATGCTTTTTGTCCTCCAAAGCAGGGAATTTTCCCTCCACGTGTTTTGTTTTGTTAAAAATATGCTTTGTGTGCGTTTTCACTTCTCTATCTTGATAATGACTGCAACGCTCGAAAGTATCATGATTATATATGCATTTAACTTGTATTCGCTTTAAGAGTGTACAAAATGATGGAAATTTGATCTGGAACAGATAGTAAAACAACCTTAAACAAGTACAAGCTCGTTAACTCAATTCGCTTCTAATAGTCGGAAATCATTTGGAGTCTTCATTTTCACTTTTTGTAAGCTAACGACGCATGTGATCGATGTCCGTTTTTATTCGCAGCATTCCCTGTACATGTCCAGACGAACTCCATTCTCGGAAATTGAACTTATCGCCACACTATTATGTTATGCACAGACATGTTTCTTTTGCGTTTTCGCTTTCGATGGGGATTAGAATTGTGATCAATTTTCCACGTAATTGCAAGAATTTTCCCGAGTTTAGAGCAGCAAACAATTATAATTTTGCCAGATAAAAATTTATGTGCCTCAATGACTGTAGCATATTCGACCAATATATATTATATTTTAAGTTAAAAATCTTTAATTTTGACCTGGCCGTTTCTTAGAAAAATAACGGATGGCGAATGGTCCTTCAAAAGAACTCTGGGCATCGCAAAATTTAAGCCCAGTTTCACGAGTCACATAGTCATTATTTTTTTCTTTTATTCACTTCTGTGCGTCTCGCAGTCTCCCTCTTTTCTTTTGTAAGGCTAAGGGAGTTTCAAAGTCTTGATTATATTCGTTTCTTTGTTTTGTTTTGTTTTGTTTTGTTTTGTTTTTACTAATGACGTCTTCTCGTCACTTGATACTGTATTTTCAAATTTCCGAGAAAAGGTTAACCTTATTAAATGCCATAAATTGCCTCAGTGAATTCCGCAAAGCTTACCGCCACTTCATTTTGGCGCTAGAAAAAACTATTAGCTTGTTCTAGGTATGGTTATCATAACGTAGTGTTATATTAGAATTTCCAGCTTCTGTTAGTTCGCAGAAGCTAGCCAAAAGGCTTCTGCTTCGATCTACTTTATGTCAGCGGTATATCTTTTTGTTTTCTTCTAGCTTCTTCGGTTCGTCCCCCGGTTCTTCGTTCGGTTTTTCATCCGGTTTTTCGTCCAGTTCCTCATCTGGTTTGTCGTCCTTTTCTTCATCCCAGTCAGGGGGTACACGCCCTCACGACATCACCTCTAAACAGGGTCTCACCAACTTGTACAACTCTGGCGTGGCTTCTGTGGAGCATGTGTCTAGGCCCATGGGAGGAGTGATAGGGGCTATAGGAGTCCCCCACTCTGGTGTCGTTGTGACCACTAACAGTGGCGATCGCTGGCTCGTGCACAAGGGAAAAGGATATGGAGATTCAAGTAAAATATTATCTCACTGTTTTATATGCTAAGTTGACCAAGTTGAGACTGAGAATTAATTTCTAACTACAAACCGTTGGTTTGCTTTAGGTTGTTTCTGAATGTATTTTCAAACTTGATGAAGTGCTTCCCGCTACTTCCCTATAAAGCATTCTTTTGATTCGTCGTGATTCCAGTCGGAATTCTTGCTATTGTCACATTATTCTTGTTAGAGCGACAAGAAATTCTTCTCAATATTTGCAACCCATTTTATCAATATTTTTTGTCAAGTCCTTGGCTTTATAAAAGTAACTTTTTATTAAAGTTTTTGCCCATCAAATTTTACTTGATAGCTCTTACCTAGGTTTTATCGGATTTCCAAACGTCAACCTGGAAAACAATGGTCTTTTTATATCTCTCTCGATTCACAATTTAGGTCCGACTGTGGTCACAGATGCCAAACACATGAGTGGAGCCTGGACATCAGGAGGTTCTCAGCCCGCGCAGCCTGGGACCAGAGTAGCTGATTATGTCAAAGCTGGTGGAGGGAGTTACAATGGGCTTTTCGACAATTGCCATGATGCTTCTAGGAGGATGATGAATGTCGGGAAGGGAAAACGTTGACCGAGAAACATAGATGTTCTTTACCTCGGTTTTAAGGCGAATCAGTGATGCTCATATCCATAATAAGCTATAGTGTAATTGAGACTGTCCAGCTACTTGCCTTGAAGGCTTTAAATGTAAACGTAATTATTAGTCGTCCACTGAAAAATTTGGCTGAAAATACAATTCAGTAATTTGTGGACGCATAATGATAAACGGTAAGGTAGGAGAGTAATAAATATGTGGAATGATTATGTGATTCGATTTCTAGCTATATACAGTAAGCATTGAAGAAACAAGACAAAAAAAAAAAATAGAAAAGTAATAGACTGACGTAATTCTGTAGCCCAGGACAGGCCTTTAATAAAGATCAGAATGATTGATAGATGATTAAAGCCAGTTTTTTCTTTATCTCCTTACTCGTAGCATCATTGCTCTTTTTGCGCGTGCGTATGGCGTTGTCCTCAGTCCACTGATTTTCATTCTCCGTCTACTGGAGTATACTTCCTCAATCCTAAACCAGAAAGAGGAAGAAGGCGTGACTGGATTGCGTTATAGCGTTTCTCCAGTTTTGGTGTTTTTTTGCTCAACAGCTTTTACTTTCATAGTCGGGCACAAGAGTTTCACCGATAGAGCGGAGCGTAAGTGTTGGAATCATCTTATCAGAGTAAACTAATGAAAGACGTGCTCGATTGCTTTCATGAAAGTGAGGTATACTAAAATGTCACCGACAGAAAGAAACATACTGTCTAAGGTTTTACCTACAGAAAGTAAAGTTAGAACAACCCTGTACAGCCCAAACAAACAATACCATTTGAAAGCACTACTAACAGGTTTTACCTGAAAGGTCACACATTAGAGATCCAGAGAGACTTGTAAGTGAAAACCCTCCTTTTCAGCATAGTAAACAGCTCCGAATCAAGGTGCTGTTTAATAGCTTTTTTTTCTTAATCAGTCACACTAGCCAGGGTTTTATCAAGGGACGGAAAAGTTTCAACCACCTTACACAACTTGAATAGAGATTACTCCAGTGCGAAACACGCGGTACGCACATACAATTTTCATTGACAAGTTAAGTTGTGTTTAAAACTTAACGAGTGAGCGCAGCGATCGAGTGAGTTTCCTGATGCACGTCAACGAGTAAATAAAAACCGCGAAATGTACATTTTAAGAACAAAATTGGATCTACATAAACACTGCGTGTATTGTCACTGAAATATCCGGTTATTTGATGCCATTCGTTTCCTGAGAACCACGACTGCGTTCAATTTCTTGCTCAGAATTGTTGCATGTGCGAACAATAATTTAAAAGAACAAACTTAAGCAATTCGGAACCCGACGCTAGGGATCATCGTTATAATTTTTTTTAGTATATGGAAAACGAGCAAACGACTTCCGGTTTATTTTTCCAGAACATGTATGTACTTAACGGTGAAATAGTATTCTTGGAAAGTGAATTTAACCAAATCTTCATCAAAATACATATGTTATAAATTGTCTCAGAGAATTTTCATTTTTCGCAGACAAGAGATTTTTAGGAAAATTAAATTGATCAAACTTGACATTTTTACGTCTGGAAATTTTAAAATTTCACTGAACACCTGTCAGATTCTTGCATCAAACAATGAGCTTTGGTCGGGGTAATAGGCCACCAAATTAGAACATACACTCCGCATTGGATTCTCAGACTAAGATCAAATGACAATATCTTATACTCATTTGCCATTTAAAAGATAAAAGCGCAGACCAGCGATGGTAATTTAAGTGACTCTGCAATGAGGTAGTCTTGAAAAAAGTGAAAATGAAATTAAAAACGACATCAAAAAAATGCTAATCGCAGATTGAGTTATATAATTATGTGCATGATGGAACCGCCGAAATAAAAGATTAATTACAGGAACAGCAATTCGACAATTTTCAATCTATCATTTACACACTCACATTTTTGTAAAGTTTAAATACTCGACATCATAGGCAATGAAACGAGTCAAACCTCAAATACTACTCAGTAGTGTGCCATTCCAGGGAAGGCTAGTAACTTGACGCGTTTGCTGCCAATTGGTCAAGTAATCGCATGCGCCTAGACCGATATTTACTTTGTGTAGTTAAGTTCAGCTCGAGGGTTTTTTTTT